GGACGTAAAATCCTAAAGATTAAGCCATAAAAGACTAACAGTTGTGCACTATTTGCAACACATAAATACATAAATATCATGTACTCTTTTCCTCACTAGTTTTCTCCCATTGGGTTTTTCTAGTGTGGCTTTTAACGAGGCATGAGTATGATATAATGATGCAAATGGGGAAATGTTGCAAAATAATTGCTTCAGTAAACAAACTCCAAAATCCTGAAGATTATGCCTTGAAAGCTTATGATTGTACTCTTTTTCCTTAATTAAGTTTTTCCCCACAGGGTTTTCTTAAGTTAAGGTTTTTAATGAGGCAATCAGTAGAATATATGATTTTACAAATATCATGTACTCTTTTCTTCAACTAGGTTTTTTTCCATGTGGTTTTCCTAGTGAAGTTTTTAATGAGGGATGAATGTATTCAAATATGCTATCCATATACCTTATACTCTTTTCTTGTTTAGGTTTTTCCCAGAAGGTTTTCCTAGCAAATTTTTAATGAGACAAGATCATGGTGTTATAATGTCCAAGGGGAAGTGTTATAAATATAGTTAAGTGTGGACATTATGAGTTGATTATGTAACTGATGTAACGGTGGCATTTATGTCTACCATTATTACCTTCCGTTACAAATGTATATTATATATATATATATATATATATATATATATATATATATATATATATATATATATATATATATATATATATATATATATATATATATATATATATAGATGTGTATTCAAATGAGGACAAGTATATTATAGAGGACTGTGATGACAGATGTAGTGTGTGCCATTAGCTGGTATGTTGTGTGCATGGCCAAATGTAGTCGTGTGCCACATTTTGTATGTCGCGTGCTAGATTTGTTAATTTATAGAGCTTGAGTTCGAAACCTGATGTTTACATTTATTCTGGTGAGCCATTATGTATTAAGTTGTGTGCCTGATATTAATTTGTTGTGTGCCCATTATTTGTCCTCACAGTCCTCTATATATTGTTGTCCTCATTTGAACTCAACCCTATATATATATATATATATATATATATATATATATATATATATATATATATATATATATATATATATATATATATATATATATATATATATATATATATATATATATATATATATGTTTTGTTGTAATATGTAAAGATAGATGAATGAATAAGAGATTATCCCTTTCCTCCCTTATCTCTCTATTCTGTTTTTCCTGTTAACAATAATGAAATTATATCTCTTTTTTAATTTTTATAATTAATAATTTTTTTGAATAAAGGCATTATAGACATCTAATTCTAAATTAATTAAAGGTATATTTATTATTTTTGGTCGTAGATACTAATTTCTTTTATTTAATATGGATAAAGTACAAATAAGCCACCGAACTATTTGGAAAACATCAATTAAGTATTGGAACAGTTATGATATAACACTTTGTTAGTATACTGTTATAGTCTTTAGCATATTGTTAGAGTCATTAGCGTAGACTTTTCTGTTTCACCTATTATGGTGCTTGTTGACTCAAAGTATTTTGTCAAAGTTATGTGCAAAAAGAATTCCAGTTCTATAAAGGAATATCAGTACTAAGAGGAATAGTTATTGAAGAATACTAGTTCTAAGGGGATTTGTTGTTGAAGATTTTCTAATTCTATTTTGATTAGGAATAGTTTGTTATTCACGAATCTGTTAGGAATAGCTACTACAAATAGGGGATGTCCTTTACTGTAGATCTCAAGCATTCAACATTAATCTTGTGAGGTACGAGAGTCTTTGAGAATAGGATACTAAATTCCCCTAGAAAGTAGTACATGTGTTTAGGTTTCAATAGTTTGGTGGGAAAGATCATTCTATTGTGTAATCTTAGGTTCCAAACAGTGTACTTTAAATATTGAGCTTTTAGTGGATTTAGGCAAGTTCTCAAATTGAGAAGTGCCTCGCAGATTAGGGTTGTTTGCCCGAACTGCGTTACAGATTATTTGTGTTACAACTTCAGTTTCGGTGCTGCGCTTTACAAATTTTCAATTGATATAAGAGCCAAACTGCTTAAGTTATTAGCAGGATCCTAATGGAGTTTCCCAGAGAAGGACTGTCAAGCACCAGGCCCCCTGCTCTCTTTGGTACAAATTTCTCCTACTGGAAAGCTAGAATGAAAATCTATATTTTGGCACAAGGAGAAGGAGTTTGGGATGCCGTTGAGAAAGAATGGAAGAATCCAGTTGATGATAAAGGTAATCAAAAACCTAAAATAGAATGGAACGAAGAAGAGCGAAGGGAATATAATTACAATTCAAAAGCAATGAATGTCATCTATGGAGCGGTAAGTGAAGATACTTTCAAACTAATCGCTACCACTGGCATAGCTAAAGTTGCATGGGATATACTATGTGATCATCACGAAGGAAATACTTCTGTTAAGCAATCCAAGCTGCAAATGATACAAACACAGTTTGAGAATTTAAAAATGGAAGAAGATGAGGATATCTCACAGTTTAGTGCAAGAGTTTTAGGGATTGCTGGAGATGCGTTTAACCTAGGCGAACCTATTCCTGAACCTAGGCTCGTCAAAAAGGTCCTACGTTCCCTACCTGAGAGATTTATGATAAAGGTTACAGCCATCCAAGAAAACAAAGATCTAAACACCTACAAACTCAGTGATCTAATGGGAAATCTTCAAACATATGAGCTTGAGATACTGCAAAAAGGGAAAAATAATGACAAAGGAATTGCACTCCAATCAAAGCAGAAAGAGAGTCCAGAAATTGATACTGAAACCATGGAACAATCAATTGCTCTCCTAACAAAGAATTTCAACAGAGTTCTCAAAAAATTCAACAAATTTAGAAGCAAAAGTGCTTCAATCAATCAAGGGAACTTCCCAACTGGACAAAATCAATCTATTTCAAAAGGAAGGGAGAGTCTAAAACCTGAAGGAATTCAGTGCTACGAGTGCAAAGGGTTTGGACACATCCAGTCAGAATGTCCAACATATTTTAAAAGGAAGAACAAAACATATGTGGCAACACTAAGCGATGACTCAGATAGTGAAGAAGACACCAACACTAATTTCGTAGCATTCACCACAAATCATGAGAATGACAACGGAAACGAAAATGATATGCAAGAACTGCTAGAGTCATATACCCAATTGTATGCTAAATGGGAACAAATCATCAAAGTGAATCTAGAGCTCATGCAAGAAAATCAGTTTCTAAAAGGTGAAAAAGAGAGAGAAGAAAAGCGCCTCAAAGAAACTCAAAATGAATTATTAGAATCTAAAAACAGAGAGGCCAAACTGTTACAAGAAATCAAGGCACTAGATGGAAGGCCTAGATCTCCAAATCCAGCGTCCAGTGAAAGCCACTCTTCTGAAAATCCTGAGGTGTCACAACATCACTTTCAACACCGAAGGAGAATTAGATGTTATTACTGCCACAAATTGGGACACATAAAGGCGTACTGCTTCAAAAGACAAAATGATCTCTATTACAGACAAAACAACAGAGATTGGGCAGTACAAAGCAAAAATAACAGCAAGAAAGTATGGGTAAGAAAGGAACAAACACAAGCTGTTGCGTATACCTCAGAAACAAGCCAAAAACAAAGTGTTTGGTATTTTGACAGCGGATGTTCAAGACATATGACAGGAAATCCACATTATCTTGAGAATATCCAGTACAAAAATGAAGGGCAGGTCACTTTTGGAGATGGAGGAAAAGGACAGATTATCGCAAGTGGTACCTTGAATGTCCATGGACTGCCCAGATTACCAAGAGTCTTTTTGGTACAAGGACTCAAAGCAAACCTTATCAGTATAAGTCAACTGTGTGATGATGAACTCAAAGTAGAATTTTCCAAAGAGAATTGTAAAGTCTACAACCAAAAACATGAATGTGTTATGATGGGGAAAAGATCATCTGATAAACGCTACACATGGGATGGTGATCTAACCTGTCATTAATCTACCATCAATCAAACACCATTGTGGCATCAACTAAGGGTGAGAAAGACAGAGACCAATGTGTTTGCCAAAAATTTGACAAAGGGGGAGAATGTTGACTCAAAGTATTTTGTCAAAGTTATGTGCAAAAAGAATTCCAGTTCTATAAAGGAATATTAGTACTAAGAGGAATAGTTATTGAAGAATACTAGTTCTAAGGGGATTTGTTGTTGAAGATTTTCTAGTTCTATTTTGATTAGGAATAGTTTGTTATTCACGAATCTGTTAGGAATAGCTACTACAAATAGGGGATGTCCTTTACTGTAGATCTCAAGCATTCAACATTAATCTTGTGAGGTACGAGAGTCTTTGAGAATAGGATACTAAATTCCCCTAGAAAGTAGTACATGTGTTTAGGTTTCAATAGTTTGGTGGGAAAGATCATTCTATTGTGTAATCTTAGGTTCCAAACAGTGTACTTTAAATATTGAGCTTTTAGTGGATTTAGGCAAGTTCTCAAATTGAGAAGTGCCTCGCAGATTAGGGTTGTTTGCCCGAACTGCGTTACAGATTATTTGTGTTACAACTTCAGTTTCGGTGCTGCGCTTTACAAATTTTCAGTGCTGAACCTCTTTATAAAGCTTGTGTAATCTTCTCCGTTTAATTTATCACTTCAGAAATATTATTTCATCATTTAGTATCAGCCTAAACTTCGGTCCTATGGCCAATCAAACTGATGCTACCCTACCAGCCGGCGCAACCACCTCCCCGGCTGATTCTTCGGACCGATCAACTCAAGCTATCGCACCTGCTGATCGCCGGGCGTCCACCATGTTGCAGCAAGCACATCACTATGTGTCTATCAAGCTGACGGCCACGAACTATCTGTTCTGGAGAGCGCAGCTTGTTCCTTTTTAGAGAGGCCAGAATTTGTATGGCTTTGTGGATGACACGAATGCCTGTCCGCCGGAATTTCTTCCCACCTCGACGTCCGCAGCATCTCCGACTATCAATCCGCTTCATGCCGATTGGGTGCAACAAGATCAGTCGATCTTGAGTATGTTGATCTCGTCTCTTGCCGAGGAGGTCCTTTACCTTGCGATCGGCCACAACACCTCCAGAGGAGTATGGGTCGCGACAGAAACTGCCCTGGGGTCTACCTCTCGTTCCCGCACGTTGAGCCTGTTAACGCAGCTACAGGGCCTTCAACAAGGTGATTCGTCAACGTCCAAATATCTAGGACGGGCGCAAATCGTTGTCGAGCTACTTGCCCAGGCTGGTCGTCCGATCGGCTTAGATGAACAAAACCTCCATGTGTTCCGGGGGTTGCGGCCGGAGTTCCGGTCCTTAGTGGCGTCGCTGACTACCAAGAGCCAACTACTTACAATTCCAGAAGTTGCGGACCTCCTAAACACTCACCGCTACCTCTTCCCGGAAGACGCCGTACCTACTGGATTCCCTCAGCCGGCAGTCATGGTTGCCCAGCAAGCTCCGTCACATCCCAGAAACAATCACGACGACGGTCGTGGACGAGGCCGGAACCATAGGGGCCAGCGGGGGAGAGGTCAGCGCGGTCGAGGAGGCATTAGGTGCCAAATATGCGATATTCCAGGCCATACGGCCCTGACGTGCTACCGAAGGTTTGAAGATTTCGGTGGCCAGCGCCTTCCTCCCGCACAATCTGGAGTCCATACAGCGCCCCAGCCCCAGGCCCATGTCGCGTACCAACAGCAACAGCATGATCTCACCACCGCGCCCTTTTCGAATATATGGCTGCCTGACACAGGGGCCAATGCCCATGTGACTCCAAATGTTAACGGCTTAGCAGGCGTTGAGACATACACAGGAGGTGACACACTTCAAGTAGGGGATGGCTCAGGTTTGGATATACAAAACACAGGTTCTGTTTCTTTAAATACACAGTCTCGGTCTTTGTTTCTAAAGCACGTATTACATGTTCCAAAATTACGTGCATCTCTTTTATCTGTCCAAAAGTTTACACGTGATAATGACGTGTACTTTGAGTTTCACCCCGACTATTTTCTTGTGAAGGACCGTACCACTCAGCAAACTCTACTTAGGGGTCCTAGCACGGGCGGGATGTACACGTTGACTCTACCTAAACCAGTTGCCTACTTGTCAGCTAAAGCGTCTCCAAAAATATGGCATGAACTCCTCGGTCACCCACACTCTCGTGTCTTACGATAGGTTTTGTCTTCCTGTCCGGTTGAAGGATCGTTTAATTTTTTAAATAATTTATGTACGGCGTGTCAGATGGGCAAGTCTGCGCGCTTCCCGTTGTCACGAATTAAAACATCAAGTCATTCTGTTCTAGATTTAGTTTTTTCCGATATTTGGGGACCTGCTCCCGTACCATCAATTAATGGTCATAAATATTTTGTGTTGTTCGTCGATGACTACTCTAGGTTTGTGTGGATTTATCCTATGAAACTTAAATCCGATATCTACCACATATTCACTAAGTTTCGTACACTAGTCGAGAAACAATTTTCCCGGCCTATAAAAACTATTCAATCAGATATGGGGGGTGAGTATCTTAAGTTGAGCTCGGTTTTTGCCACCGCAGGAATATTACACAGAAAATCCTGTCCTCACACACACGAACAAAATGGTCGTGTGGAGCGCCGAAATCGGCATGTGGTCGAAACGGGTCTAGCGTTATTAGCTCATGGTCAAGTTCCTCAAAATTACTGGTACTATGCTTTTGAGTCGGCAGTGCACCTAATAAACCGTATGCCATCTCCTGTTTCTAATGACACAAGTCCGTATTATCAAGTTTATCGTCAACATCCTAACTATACAATGCTACGCGTGTTTGGGTGTGAATGCTTTCCCTATTTACGCCCTTACAACGCTCATAAGATGGACTATCGCTCCACAACTTGTGTGTTTCTTGGATACCCGGAATCCGTTTATGGTTACAGGTGTTTGGACAGGAATTCTGGTCGTGTTTACATTGCACGCCATGTTCGATTCAATGAGTCAGTGTTTCCATTCTCAAAGGCAGTCGACAATCCGCCTGTTACGTCGACAAGTGCACCGCCATGGGCATGTGCCCAAATACAGCAACAACCGTCTCAAGCCCTTACCCAAGGACTGAGGCCGACTCCCAGCAGTCAACAACATGTCCCTATGTTGCCAACATCATCATCCACAGCAGCTGCCGCGTCATCCTCATACCAGCCGTCGACCTCTACCACCACTACAACTAGACGGCGGCGCCAACGGCCAACAGTGCGCACACATGTGATGCGCCTACGCACAACCACTGACGCTCAACGACGGCGTCCAACAGCGTTAATTGCTTCAGTCGATGATGTCGAACCCACTTGCCATTCACAAGCAGTCAAAGAACCACATTGGCGTGAAGCCATGAACGTAGAGTTTAATGCTTTATTACGCAATCAAACTTGGAATCTTGTCCCACAGCATCCGGGTATGCACATAATAGGGTGTAAGTGGGTGTTCCGCATCAAAAGAAAATCTGACGGCGCTATTGAACGTTATAAAGCCCGCTTGGTAGCCAAGGGGTTCAATCAGATTCCAGGCCAAGACTATGTTGAAACGTATAGCCCGGTGGTCAAACCGACAACTATTCGGCATCTGTTGTCTTATGCCGTTTCTAACAAGTGGTTGATGCGTCAACTAGACGTACACAATGCCTTCTTGAACGGGCACGTCAGTGAAGAAATCTATATGCGGCAACCTTCGGGTTATGTTAACCCGAACTGTCCAAATCATGTATGTAAACTACAACGGTCGTTGTACGGCCTCAAGCAGGCCCCACGGGCTTGGTTCACGAGACTCCATGAGTTTTTGGTCCAAATTGGGTTTTGTCCCTCCAAGACAGACGTATCTTTATTTATTTATGGCTCGGGAAATGTCCGTGCCTATTTACTTGTATATGTAGACGATATCTTGCTCTTGGGCAATGACCCGGCCATGATTCAGGACATTCTCTCGAAGCTCGCTACGGCATTCAAGATCCGCGATCTTGGAAAACCGAGGTTTTTCTTGGGTATTGAAGCCGTTGAGGTAGCTGACTCTTTAGTGCTGTCACAGAAGAGGTATATGACTGAACTTCTTCGAAAAGCAGGGATGGACGCATGCAAGCCGCTAGCTACACCCATTGCTACAAACACTCAACTAGACCCGGGTGAGTCAGAAGCACTTGACGATCCAACACCATACCGACAGCTAGTTGGGTCGTTGATGTACCTGTTAATCACACGGCCGGACTTAGCTTTTGCCGTAAACAGACTGTGTCAATTCATGCAAGCCCCGACACATGGCCACTGGGCGGCTCTCAAATGAGTCCTGAGATACGTTAACGGTACGTTAGATCTTGGGCTTTGCATTGCTCCCTCTACTACTCCGGTACTGCACGGCTTCTCCGACTCGGACTGGGCTGGTTGCACCATCGACAGGAGGTCAACAGGTGGCTACGCAGTTTTTTTGGGCCCCAATTTTCTCTCTTGGGTCTCCAAGAAACAACGGACGGTAGCACGGTCCTCAACCGAGGCTGAGTATAAAGCTCTCGCCGATGTTGCCGCCGAGGTCGCATGGGTTCAGTCGCTACTGCGTGAGCTCGGGTTACTACCAACAACTGTCCCGGTGTTGTGGTGTGATAACCTGGGGGCCACCTACTTGTGTTCTAAATTCTAATCCGGTGTTCCACGCCAGGACAAAGCATGTCGAGGTGGACTACCATTTCGTACGAGACAAAGTTGCGTCTGGAGCTCTCAAAGTCAACTTTGTCTCAACTCACGATCAGTTAGCCGATGTGTTTACAAAACCGCTCTCCGCTGCTCGTTTTAATGATCTTCGTTACAAGCTTGGCGTCGTTCCTTGCCCCCCGCCAGCTTGAGGGGAGTATTGGAACAGTTATGATATAACACTTTGTTAGTATACTGTTATAGTCTTTAGCATATTGTTAGTCATTAGCGTAGACTTTTCTGTTCCACCTATTATGGTGCTGAACCTCTTTATAAAGCTTGTGTAATCTTCTCCGTTTAATTTATCACTTCAGAAATATTATTTCATCTTTGAGGGAGATGCCGGTGGTGGGCGGGAGTGGACTGTTCCGGTGATGCGAAGCTTCGGCAGCACGTCGGGGAGGAGGAAGATGTGATGTCGTGGATGAATGGATGATGCACGGCCATCGCTGTGGGCTGTCTAAACAACAAACAATATGAATTGTCCATTTTGTCATTCTTTTTAACAGCAAGTTAACACTAAAGTTAACGGAGGACCAATTTGACTTAAAATTCAATAGTCGAATCACTTTGGGTGCAATTAAAAGTCAAGGAACCAATTTGAGAAAAGGCTATAGTCAGAGGACCATTTTAGAAATTAACGCAAATCAAATTGATGTGGATGCTCTTATAGTGTATCAGACAAAAATAATAATAATAATAAATCGAAAATATGGAGAGTGAAAGCAGTGTGTGGAAAAGCGCGTGGAGAAGCGGGGTGTGTACATTATTTTGGTGTTTGGACGTGTCCGCCGACAGATACAAGTCGTTTCCGAATCCAGCATTCCAACCCATTCCAGCTTGTAATTTCTTTTTCTTTTCTTTTATTCTATTATGACCACCAAATCTTTAACTGTGTGCATAATATTATTAAAAATCTTAATTATATTCCTGAAATTCTCAAAATATATATTACGTCACCGGCTCAGCCCAAAACCATATAAAACAAATTGTGGAAATTCAAACCTAATAGAAGAAATCTCAAGAAATAATTTTAGTTCAACTCGAGTACTCTTATTTGAATTCAGATGAAATATAGAAGTTAGATCAGCAACTTTCCACAGAATGTCATTAATATATCATAAAAATTATAATGGAGGACCAAAAGTGAAGAAAATAGAATAGTCTGAAAACTAATATTGGACATTATGTAATCAATGACTAAAATGATAATAATGTTAAAGCAAATGATCAAAATTGAAATTAGTTATCCTCAAGGGCGTCGGCAAATAGGTGGAATATAATTCTCATACATAAATATCATTAGTTTAATTATTGCCAACACTATCTTCATAGTATGATTTACCTCTTCTGTGTAGTAGCAAATAAAACAAAACATAAAGAGATTTATAAACACAAGACTTAGTAATGTTACTATGAATGAAAGTTAAGATGTTTGTGATCAGATTTCAGCATATAATCTAACACAATAAGCAACAAGACAGAGGTGGCATTTGGATATTAAGATAAGGAAAACAGACATAAATGATTGATTATTGATGTTTGTCCCATAATTGAGTTGTTTGCTATAAACCTTGTACCACATTGTTCAACATTAAGGAATCCACAACATTATGGGTGAACTAAGTATGAAATCCTAATCCTAATTAAACAAAAAATCAAACTTATCTAGTTTGTACATGTATCCTAATTCCTAGGCCCACTAGACACTGTACTTGCTATGATGACTGATCAGAATGAGAGCATGAGATCTGAAGGCTAGGGCATTTACTGTCAAGAATGAATGGGTATGTGCATATTGGCAGCCATTCATTCAAGGGTTCAGTATTAAGCCGGTTAGCTTGCTTCTTCAATTTGTCGAGATTAATGGGGTTTTCACAAGATGCAGATGATCTCTCTCGATCATGACATTGAAGTTGCATCAGATTTGTGTTCTGAATCAGCGGTGGCCTGGATTTGAGCTGCGTATTGAAGGTTCCAAAGGACATCTTCAAAAGATGGACGAGTAGATGAGTCGGGGGAGATGCATTTGTTGGTGATGGAAATTACAACCGATAGAGACTCTTGTGAGGAAGTGGTTAGCACAATTGGATCCACAATTCTTCGTCGGCCATCCTGGCTACCAAACGATGCCTGTCATTCAAATGCCACATTTTCACTATATTATATCCAACAAGCTCACTGCATAACTAATACTCGTATTATTCTAAGATTCTGTATCAACCATGTGATCGATATCAATTAAGGAAGAACAATGCATGCCAAACATTAAGGAAAAACACGATTTGGGATGAAAACGGCTGCTCAGAAATTGTAAAGGTAATGTTAAAGAATATCTATAATTGCAGAATATGGGAATAAAGGGTTAAAGAATGTGTTATTCTTTTAGAAAGCAATGGCAAAATCTTACCATTTCATTCAGCAAAAATGCTTCTCCTTTTCCGCTGATAATGGGGCCCACTAGTGATTCCAGCAATATGAACCCAAAATTGTATACATCATCCTCTTTCTTTGTCATATACCTGCAACACAGAATCAGCTTCTCCAGATCGAATACCCCATAAAGATAGATGCCATTGTGCCTGTGCTAAACTCCATTTGTTGCCGATATATCCAATACTTTTATAATAACTTAACTTGTACATAATATTGAGACTTTACTACCACAGTACCATGTCATTTTACACTACGTTTTTCGTGTTTCTCCTGATATAGAAACTATTGTGGGCAATCACACCCATCTTTTACGTACATGATTTGAGTTCATATTATTTATCCTGTTTTAGAGGAACAAAATTATGTTTTACTGAATTATATCTACGAGGGAATATAATCATGGAGTCTCTCAAGACACGACTGAAAATCTTGTTTTAAGGAAAACGATGCTTACCATGAGTTGGAGACATCTCCCTTGCCCTGGATTAAGGATACCACGCTTGTCAGATATAATTATGTCTTTCAATAGTGAGAGAGCAATGAACATTTACCGCACTGATTAAAATAGCAAATAAACTTACTTCAACTCTGTCAGGTTCCTCCATAAAGATGGACATCCCGTAATCACTCAGCTTTGCAATCTGGTGCTCATCAAGCAATATATTATGTGTCTTCAATCGATTGCTGAAAGAAGCAGGAATTACCCCGGTATGGAGAAAGTGAACAGCCTTGGCCACACCAATCAGAACTGCCAATCTGTCTGACCACTTAAGAACCTTTCCCGGGCTCGTTTCTGCAGATACAGATGTTGGTCAACACAAGTTAAAGAGCTTCTGGTAAAAAAGCATGCCGGGATCACAGATTTGCATATTGCATGGGGAACATGGGAAAATAATCATCCTAACTAAGAAAAATAAAACAAAAAGTTTTAATTTAATGAAGAATTTAGGCGAGTATGAGGGTCTAGCTCCATTCACCTGAAAGATGAGCACGAAAACTTCCATTAGGAACAAATTCATACACGAGGAAAACTCTGTTGACTGTTAAGTCATCTTGCCCTCCACCATCAATGCAATGACCCACAAGGCTAACTAAGTTTGGATGACTAAATTTCGAAAGCAAATCCAATCGAACTTTGAGATTTCGGATCAGATGTCTCTTATGCAAGGCCAATAACCTAATAGCAATGCAGGTTCCATTCTCCAGCCTTCCCTTGTAAATCTGAAGAAACAAAGACGGATGATGTAAGAACAGAATCCTGAATAAACTAAATGATGGAGTGATGAGAGGTTGACAATGATTTTGTAAATGAAAACCAATTTGCAGGTTGTTTTTGTGGAATTCACTAATTCTCACATAGATATGTAACGTGAGCATCTGATGGATTATAAGATGAAAAAAACATAACATTTAAGAATTACTTTTCCCATGGAGCCTTCACCCAATAAAGCTAACTGATCAAAATATTTGGTAGCATCTTGTAACTCTTCAATGGAGAACACCCGGTATGCTGGAGAACCTTGAGGTCCTAGCTTTGCTGCTTGAGATATGATTCCTGCAATGATAATGATGATGGTGGTGATAAGTGATAACAACGACAAACAAACAAGAAACTTCCAGTGAAGCCCAATCAAGCTGGTTAATTAGTTAACTGATTTAGTGATGAAGTTATTTTCTGGAAACCTAAAGCTAATGTTAGAACTAATCTTTGAGAGATTATCAAAAGAAGGAAAATAAATTAAACCAACAACTTACGGGCATTTGCAAGGAGTTCAGATGAAATCCCCGTCTGTGGTGAAGCATCTTGCACAATCTTTGGAAATGTGGCTTGTGTATGGTGATCCAGTGTGCCTTGTGTATGGTGGAGTTTTTTCCGAAAAATAAGTAGAAACCCAACTGCCAAAAGTACCACAACAATTGCAATTCCCCCGACAATGCCTACCAGTACTGCTACTTTTTTCCTGTTAGTATGTTTCACTTGTACAAGTTCTTTTTTTGCACAATATGACTCAGGATGTTGATTTTGGGTACTAACAGTAACAGACAAGCAATTCCCACCAGACTTAACAATTCTCTTCTCTGAGGTGGGGTCTAAGCAAGAAGGAAGCTTGCCAACCAACCTGTTTGAGGAAATATCAACGAAACCAAGCGTGTCCCCACAGCTGATACGGTCTGAAAGTGAACCCCTCAGTAAATTGGATGCTAAATTCAAGTAACTGATATGAGGCAAAGAGAACAATTCAACAGGCGGTATCCCACTCAGAAAGTTATTAGACAAGTCAAGGTGTTGAAGTTGGTGTAGTTCACCTAGCTGTTCTGGGATTTCACCAGAGAATGTATTATTGCTGAGAAGAACTGTGGCCAGCCCTTTTGGCAGGGGAGGCAGTTCAGAGTCAAAACGGTTTTCCCTCAAATCCAACAAATGCAAATTCAACAATGCACTCATATCCGGTAATTTACCCGACAGCATATTGTGTGAAAACATTACATCAGTAAGAGCTGCAACTTTGGACAATGAAGAAGGGAACTCACCCTTTAACCTGTTGTTCTTTAGGCTTAGAATGGTTAGATTTTGAAATGAAGAACCAAACCAATCAGGCATAGTGTCATTAAAGAAATTCCCATCTAATGTTAAAGCATGGAGCTTTACCAGTCTAGACATCTTAAATGGAATGGAACCAAACATGAAATTCCAACTCAAGTCCATTACCTCAAGTGATGCAAGCCTATGAATTTTATCAGGAAGAGGTCCCCAAATACCCAGAGACACCAAGCTAAGAACCCTTAAGGTAGTTAGTCTAGTGAGAGTAACAACAAAAGAATCTATGGAGAAATGGTGAGATAAGGTCTGGTTTGGAACTGCAAATCCATTGAACTCACTAACCTTGACTGGCTTATCTCCAATAATCCTGAGCTCAGTAATTGAGTCTCCTTCACATGCAATGCTCATATGTGGTGATGAAGGGTAGTTACACAAATCACCATTGTAAGTCTCCCAAACATCCAGCAACACTGGGTATTCCAAATGCTTCCTTAACTGCAGAAGAAGTTGCCTATGATAAGACTGCAATTGATGAGTATTTGAGATGAAGGAAGCCCAGAATATGAGCATAAGAAGAGCAGGTATCTTCAGAGATCCCATCTTAGCTGAAAACACAACACCCTAGGAAGTAGGAACAACTTATTTTATGCCAATCCTTTCATGAGAATTAAAAGCAAACCCACCTAAAATTCTTCAAGAACTCAGCTAATGAGCTAAATTCTTGGTTATTCAAGAGGTGGAGTGAGCTCTAACAATCTGAGTGAAATTCAGAGAGCCCCAAAGTGCATTAAAAATGTAGAGTGGTTGCGAGAAGCCATGAAAGAAATGCAGAGAGAAAAGGTAAAATGTTGGCCAAAAGGAATGTCCTTTGTTTGTTTTGAAAGAAACAAATAAACAAACAGGGGAGAGTCGTTGGGAAGAGAGAAGAGGAGAGGTGGTTGAAGAAAGAGTGGGGAGAAACAGTAAATGCAGCTGAGCGCAATATAATGAATGAATGAAGGAGACAAAGAATAGGATAGAGGCATTAATGGCGTCGGTTCGGTTCGGTTCTTCTTCTCATCCCTCATACCAGTCCAGGGAAGGGTATCTGTATCTATCATGCCATGTGAATCAATCTTCACAAAACAAAACGGTTAGCACTCGCAGGCCGCATCAATCAATTCAACTTTTGTTTCTTGGGGTGTGTTTGGTTGATGGGTTTTGCCCATAAGAATCGGTATGAAAGTAATTGTTATTGTTTAGTTGATAGGTTTTTAGAACATTATTATAAATTTCGATTACCCCATCAATTAAAAAACTCATACTCAAATAAAATAAGGGTGTGTTTGGTTGGTGGGTTTTGTCCATAGGAATGAGTATGAAAGTGATTGTTGTTGTTTGGTTGATAGGTTTTTAGAACACTACTATGGGTTTCGAATACCCCATCAATTGAAAAACTCATACCCAAATACAATAAGGGTTTCATTTCCTTATTCATTCTCAAGCACTACTATTAGTAACCATTCTCATTCTACCCTACTACCAAACATGTTATATACTTTCACCAAAACTCATTAGTATTTGATACCTATTCCGATTCCGATTACTATTTGCGAACCAAACACACCCTAAGAGTTTCATACCCTTTGTTCATTCTCAAGCACTACTATTGGTAACCATTCTCATTCCATCCTATTACCAAACATGTTAAATATTTTTACCAAAATTCATTACCATTACCAAGTATTTAATAATTAATACTCATTGTGATTTCGATTTTCACATGCGAACTAAACACATCCTTAATTTCGTATAATTATATTGCATTTCTCATTTAATCATCATTATATTATATTTAAATTTGAGGGGTTTTATATGGTGTTAATATGTAGATAGTACTTAAGTATTCACTATCAGACCGCATCAATCAAAACAAAACGGTTAGCACTCTCTTCACTCGCTTTCCTATTTGGTTTTGAAAACTAATTTCAAAAAGTATACTCTTGAAGATGCTTTTTTTTTTTTTTTTTTTTCACCTAGGGTTTCTACCGTCGCACTAATCCCCTAGCAGAGATCTTTGATTAAGGATGAATGAATTCCTTCCACTCAACCACACCCTCCAGGTTAAAGATGCTCTTATTTTGATTTATAAGAAAGTTCGACTGCTCGAATATGTGCTCTATGTGAAGTCCATCTTGTGACTCTAAAAAATCACAAGGAAATAAATCAGTCTAAATTGTAAATAGCTAAACAACTAAAATCAAGAAGTCCAATAAACAACTTCTACAAAGAGTCCAACTTGAAACTTTATCCCACCAACTCATGAGCGTTATGTTGTGCAACCGTGAGCACTATGCAAGGTGCACACGAAATTAGATCCATAATTTCTATACTATATATTCATAATTCCTATACTATAGATTCATAATTCTGTACTATAAATTCATAATTTCTATACTGTAGATTCATAATTTCTAAACTGTAGATTCGTAATTTCTATAATATAGATTCATAATTGTTATACTATAAGTTCATAATTTCTATACTATAGATTCATAATTTCTAAACTGTATAACTATCAAATTATGAACATATAGTTCAGTAATTTGTGAATACAGAGTTCAATAATTGAAAATATGAACATTGAAAATTATGAACATAGAGTTTTATAATTGTGAATATAAATTTCAATAATTATGAATTTATAGTATAGAAATTTTAGATCCAATTCCGTGTGCACCATGCATGGTGCAAACAAACAGTTGCACAACATAATTTGCCACCAACTCATATATAACTAAATGAATACTATGAAATATATCATTCAAATTTGAATCTCGTGTCAAAGTTGCGTAAGTATTAATAAAGAAACAAGTTCTTTGGATTAAATAGCTATTAATCTATATGCTAATGCATACTATATACTTTAGTGAAAAAAAAAAAAAAGTGTTAATAAATAATATGATAAAGTCAATTATATGTTAGTATATTTTGTATAGAAAACATTATTTGCACATAACATTACACACAGTGGTTTTAAAGATGTTTTTATTAGTGGATTGATAGATTTTACTAAGAATTAATCAAATAAAGAGATCGTATAAAATTGCATACAAAAATCTATATACATTTAACATTACCTATTGTGTATTTTGACTACTTTTAAATACTTTTTTAAATTGAAAGATGTGTTCCGTCTCAACTAAAAAACTAAGTTGATAGTCGGATTGCACATTTATATTTAGAGTTAATACCTCCAATGGTCTTCCGTGTTTTAAAAAATAACCACATGTAGTCATTTTAGGACGTCTCGTGGTCATTTTAAACTCTAGTTTTTTTTTTTTTTTTTAAGAATTAGGACCACAGGTGGTTATTTTTTAAAACAAGGCGGACCATTGAAGGTCATTTAAAACTCGAATGACCACAGCTGGTAAATCGCTAATACTCGGAGGACCACTGGAGGTATATTAACCTTTTATATTTATATATTATACTAGTTTATTATGCGCATTGCGCGATTGGAATAATGCCCAATGTTTTTTTTTTTTAAATAAGTACTTTAAAGTATATCAAGGCAAGATTATATTGGAATTGTTCATGCATAGATAATAGAATGTTAAATTTGTGTATTTAAATAGGCAATTATAAGTTTACAAATGCAAGATAATATAGTCAAGATTGATTATAATTGTCAATAAAATAATTGTATATGTATGGTTGAAACCAAATACGGGACATAAGGGAGAGCAAATAAAAATTAGGGCATAAAATATTAAATATATACTAATATTGAAGAGCTAACTGCTGATTGCCAAACAAAGACATTGTGAGATGGTTTCCCCACTTCAATTTGTTGTGTGATTTGAATACTCTTTTTGTCAAATCCTCCAAGTAATTAATATGATTAGCTTAATTATATATATTTTTTTATTTTTTTAAAACAATTATTATTATTATTATTATTATTATTTTATTATTATTATTATTATTATTATTATTATTATTATTATTATTAATATTATTGTTATTGTTATTGTTATTGTTATTGTTATTGTTATTATTATTATTATTATTATTATTATTATTATTATTATTATTATTATTATTATTATTATTATTATTATACCCTTAGGTCATTTTACATGTTAATCTAAACAGTTAATTTTTTTAAATATCTTTTTACCAACCGTTGATATAATTCGCTGATCAAATTCGCTAATATAATCTGCTAACGCTAACCGCTAACTGCTGATTGTCAAATAAGGACATTGCGACTTGCGAGGTAGTTCTCACTTCAATTTGTTGTGTGATTTGAATACTCTCTTTGTCAACAAATCCCTCAATTAGTTAATATGATTGGCTTTATTAATTATATTTTTTAATTTTTTCATGGTATTAATAAAATACTTGGTAAATAAATATATACCATTATTTTGTATTATAACTTTGATATTTAAGTAAAAAGTAGTGCACAAAAAAGATAATAGACAATGTAGTGAATATAATCACTTGATCAATTTGAATGTAAAGAATTTTTAAATTGGAGAAATATAAATACAATATAACGAATAAAATTATTTTTCTTAATTAATTTATTGATAATGAATAATTTTTTTTATAAAGACATTATAGGGACAATGTAGCTAATATAATCAATTGATGAATTTGAATGTAAAGAATTTTTATATTGGAGAAAAATAAATACAATATAACTAATGAAAATTTTCTCTTATTTAATTTATTGATAATGAATAATTTTTTTGAATAAAGACATTGTAGACACATAATTCTAAATTAAAGGAATGCATATGTATTATTTTTTGTTGTAGCTACTAAATTATTATTCAATTTAATAAGAGTAAAATAGAGTACTAATTATGCCAACTTTGATTGGGATGGGGTTCGAACTTAAGACCTTTCTTATTGAAATTAATGAATAAGTTAACGGTGAAGTAACATAAATTAACGGAAAAGATAATATTTAACGGAAAAGTTAACGGATAATCATATTCATTAAGGATAAATTAGGAAATCTTAAAGAAAAATTAAAATCTGATCAATCTGAGCCATTCATTTGATTAAAAAATTTGACTGCCATTTTTCCTACCCATTCTAGGCCTAACTCTCTTGGGCTCTTATTAGTATAGTAGATGTTCAACACACCCCTTATATGTGTATGCCAATTATTTTTTGAAGGGTTTCAAATTGAAATATGTATTACATCTCAACTAAAAGTGTAAAATGATACTTGATTGCATGTTTATGTTTATATATTATATGTTGAACATCTTAAATTGTAAGTGTTTGAATTGGTGTTTGTTTGTTATAATAGCTAACGCATGTATGTTCATCCAATACACTCAAAATCAAGTACACTTAATATCGTTCTTTATTTAACACATGATTATAAACACCTAACACATGTTTATATGATTTTATTTATGATAATGTCAATTAACTAATGAACAATTTATGAACATAAAAGACTTAAACTACTAAACATCAAATTGTATAATTTTCATGTAAATATCTTCTCTCTTGTTTTCCATGTTTTATATTTGTTTACCTATAATATAGGATGATAACACGTAAGATTTGCTATATAGTTATGGTTAAAGGACCTGGTGTTACGACCCTAGATAGGACCGTAACAAATAGGAAACTTTTCAAGTAGGTTTCTGACTCCTAATTGTATTCCAGTTACGGCAAACTCAAATTTCACACTTTGAGCGTGTGAGGACTCCAAGAAGAATAGCTAACAGATTATAATAACAATATATTTCTCTGAGTGGGTTCATGGTGTTCATATACAATGGACCTATTTATACTAAATTACTAACACCTACAATAATTAAGTTACTAAAATTATTCTAACCATACAAGGCAATGATATATTCTAATATACATAATTTCCTTATACTAATATTTAATCCATTATTCTCTAATTACATATGATTCATTCTTTTTAAACCTTCTACTAATTAAACCACCAATTATTTCTTTTCTTTGATGCGTGTCACTCGGCATCAGCGGATTCAGCGTATCCACACCCAAAAGGCCCTTAAAAAATAAAAATAAAAATAAAATAATGCCACCTATTGTAAGGTTTACATACTTTGTAAGCCTTGTAGTTGTAAATTAGGTAATTAGAAAATGTCATTTTGAAGTGATAGCTAGTGACAATTTTTTAATAAAGTTATAAGTAAGTTAAAATTGTAAGCATAAAAAAATGGTGATGAACTGCAATAATTATAGTGAGAACGAAAAAAATATATATTTTAAGAATGATGGGAGACTGGAGAGTGAACAATAGCAAGAAGGTTATGAACAATGACAATTAAAAAAAAAAAAAAAAAAAAAAAAAAAAAAAAAAGGAAAACAGCATAATAGTCAGTATGAGTAAATTATTAGATTGGAGGTTGGAGAAGTTGAAGACCTACTGGTTACTGGCTACTGGTAGTACACACAAGAGAAGACAAATTATTGGAAGGAACTAGGTTGGTTGTGTTGACTGACTGTTCGGGAATTGGGACCACACCCATACCCGGCCCCATACTATGGGCGCCCTCCAAATCCATTCGAATCCTATGCAACTTTGAGTCGCTCAATAATGCGTTTCCTTCTAAATTAATGTTGAGGAATTGAGAGGAGATGTGTGTGAAAAGTTAGGTAAAACATTTAAGAGAGAAAAAGTATTTTTTGAATATAAATTAGTTCAGACTGCAGAAGAAAGAAAGCATGTTATAAACCAGAACGAGAACGCAGGCCCACATGCATCAGGAACAACATAGTGAAATTTCCTGTTTACAAAAGTTAGGACCAGATGTTATTTATTAATGCCTTGAATCTAGGAATTATTTAGATTTTAGAGACTGCATTATTTTGTCCAACAAAGTATTATTTTGAGGAGAGAGAGAGAGAGAGAGGGTACGCCGTTCCATATATGCCAACTTTCAGTTATATTTATATGATATGATTGCAAAAGACTAACTGGCTTGGATCGACAAATGTACTTAACTGTAAATCTAAAAGTCACTACTTTTGTAGTTTGAAAGATTTTAAGGCCCCGTTAACCGTGCCATAACCATAAGCTTAATATAGTATAACATACACGGAGTATATCAAACACAAAAGTATTGGTGTATGATAAAGATGCCTGGATAATAAAAGCCAACAGTACGGGATAACAAAAAGAGTTTTGGATGAGTTAATGAAGAACGGGAAGCCGTACCTTTTTGCCCACCACCCACCACCTATATATTTCAGCTTCTTTAATGCACACTACTACTGCTATAGTCTTAACCTAACCATTACGGGAAGACGTAGAAGAGGTCAAAGTGCAAAGATCAAACATTTGAGGGGTCAGGGGGACCATTTTCACCAAAACAGGTACAGATACTCCATCCACTTGCAGTAACAACAAAACAAAACCAGAAAGGTTGTGCACAATTTCCCTCACACCCAAACAATCCATTTATTCATACAGCATTGATGTGGTTGATATTTGGTAGTAAGGTCACACTTCTCTGCAGCATACTAAATTCATGTGGTCCAATAAGATTACTCACTGCCACAAGCAGAGAGGGAGGAACATGTAATTGTCGATATAGGAACATAGGGAAGGGACATGACACCAATTATATTTAAAAAAAAAAAAAAAAAAAAAAAAGAGGCACATGAAAAGAATACAAAAGTAATAGCATTTGAATATTTCAAGAAAAGAATACAAACACACTATAAAATAGGAACATGAAAGGCACCTTATCTACTGCATTCATTGGTGATTTGAAGGCTCAACTGATGAAGATTCCAAATATGAGATTACAAGATCAGCTGCACTGCAACCAGATGAAATTGCTTTGCCTACAGATAGTCCTCCTTTATGGTTACCTACAACAAGTGAGGCTTATATCAAACAATTGTCTACCAAGTATGTATATCAATGGGGTAAAAGGGAAAAAGACATCCAATCCCAGGCCAAATGCCTGAAAAGGGAGGGGCATTGCTGATTGCTCTAAGCCAATAAATCAACATTGATGGAAAAGCTTTGGTGTTCTCTGCTTCCTAGATTAATATGGCTACACAGACATCTATTCAGTTTGAGGAGAACCCTTGTCATTTTAGCAGCGCTGGTTGCAAGTGAGAGCTAGTTTTTAATGCTTTCTAGTTGAAAGAAGCAAGCATCTATTAGGGATAAGAGAATTAAATAAAGAGAAAAAGAAATCTTACCTGCATAGAAAAATCCAGGGAGGTTCTTCTCCATGTTTTCAACTGCTTCCAGGACTGAATCATAGTTACGACCATATAAAGGAAATGCTTTACTCCAGTAGACATGGCTGCAATAACGAAGCAGATAATCACTACAAAATATTCATTGAATTTCATTCATTATCTCGTGTCAATAAGAGCAAAGCCTAGAGGCTTTAGAAACAAGAATTTCCTAAGGCTTAAATAATTTACATACTTCACAAACTGTGGCTCTCCCTCTACACCCAGCAACTGCTTAAGGTCAGACGTCACAATTTGCTTCAGCTCATCCCTACAAAATCATTTATATGTGAAAACCTGCTCACTTGAAAAGAATAACATACTCATTTGGACAAATGGAGTTGGTCAAATGCATAGAATTTTGAAGCATACAAAACCTTGAAGCTTTTGCAAGTTCTCTATTTCGACTTCCACCGACAAAAGTAGTGTAAAGATAAACATTACTTGGTGCTCGATCTGGAAACATCGTTGAAGAGAAAAGAGTTCCTGCATATAAAGATCTTATCAGACCATAGGCACAAATCATTAAGTATTAGTGATCTAATCATATGAGGTGGCCCTGAATTATTACCTAGTGTCTTCAAACCATTTTGTTCCTCTTTAGATGGTACAAGAACTCCAAACCCCTCAAGTGGCCGCTTTACATTTTCTTTTTTGAATGTTGTGATCATGACAGAGACAGGAACATAACTGACCTACAGAACAATGTGAATAGCAACTCACTGATTTTCTAGCATGTAAATGAAAATAGTTTTACAGAAATGATGAGAAAAGTTTAGAACCATTATACCCAAAAAAGAGTAGGAATGTCCATATTTACTTACATACCTCAGGAAGAAAGTCGAGCAAAAATGGGGTTCCCTTCTTAGTGATCTTCATATTTTTAACATCAGAGAGAGGGGCCTATAGATAAAAATATAGAACTTCATGTTATAACAAACTCATGGTATTGACATATCAGTATTCGGTGAACTCAGGTATGTATGTAAATTATGTATACACATTTTTAGCACATAATAAATCAATTGCAAGCTATTGAATGACTTGAATTTGAAAAACTTGGTGCACACCAAAAGAAGACATCAATTCTTCAAATGGGATAATATTTTGACACTCACCGTCATCACAACAGCATCAAATGATTCCTCTGCTGAGTGTTTCCTATGAGGTGAGGCATAAGAAAGAAACCAGTTATCAAGAGAGTTTTCTCTGTGGCTAGATGACAATTCTAGAACCCTGGATGAAAGTTTAAGTTCATCTTTGCCTAGTTCCTTGCACAGTGCATCTGTAAGTGTCTGCAAAACATGGGGTTAGAAAACAAAAGCAAGACTAAGACACAATTGCAGATATCAAAAAATCAAAACTAAAATGTATTATTTCTCCAAGTGCTACCAGTAAGGACAAATTTCACTTTTCTCAGTTTTTTCCTTGATGATATCCAATACGCATACTAATTATACAAATTATTACAATTACTGTAATAGGAAGTGGTACCGCGCATATCCTAAGGTGATCTTTACAAAAATGGTAGGCATAGCAAAACTGGAAGGTCAATGTTCTAAATTCTTTCTCTTGGCTCACAATGTATGGATCAAAAGTTACTTACATTTACTTTACCTGCATTCCACCTATAAATGAAAAGGATCCACGCCGAGCCTTATTTTTTGAAGCACCAACTTGCCCTTGGTTCTTCTTCTTAGCTGATATCTTAGATTGAATTGCCCCAAATATGACTGAGCCAAACCTAATGAGCAGGGATTTCAGATAACCATAAGATGGATACTTATCTAGCTGTGTAACACAAAGGAAAAAGTTGTGTGCAAACATACCTTTTTTCTATATCCCACAGTTCTGGAAATGCATGGCGCATCTATTTGATGGTGGAAAATAAACAGTGAATATTGATGATGTTTAATATTAAAAGTGAAAACTTAAAGGCCATAAAATGTGTTGAATTCAGAAAAGAAAAGGAGCAGATTGTTTTCATTATATACAACTGGAGCACACACATAGTTATACTAGTACAGAAAGGCTCCTAAGATACCCATGTTCATGTAGGAAAATTAGGATATAGCTACCATACTATGTTGAATTCAAAGAATAAAAGGAGCATATTTTTTCATTATATAAAACTGGAGCACACACACACACATATATATATACTTGTACAAAAAGGCTCCTAAGATACGCAAACTAATAAAAGCCAGCAATCCTTCATGGCTTCATATGCTTGTCTGTTGAATTTCCTCACAATTTCAACAAAATGAAAGAAATTTAGGAAAAAGACAGAGGTCACCCTCCATCTTTTTCTACTATCCTTGAAATGACAATATAGGCCAGAATTTTATGCCCATGACAAAATTAGTAAATGGTTATTTTCATAAAAGGGTTTCCTTAATTTTGTCTTAGTTTTTAAATGTCATGACATAATTTGGTTGATCGATGGTGTGTAAGTTCCAAGCCATTGGTGCATCGAATAGTAATCCTTATTTTACTCATTTGATGAATATAACATAACAAATATAAGATGCATAAGCAAATACTCACAGAAAGTGATTCAGGATCAGCAGCAGCGGTGCCCGCAACAAATGGATCAACAAGATACTCAACAACCTTGCAGGTCCAGCAAACCAAATGTGATTTTTTAGTTGCTTTGAATATGTATTTTCAAATTACAATATGTCAGCATAGATGCTTAGTTTCATATCAGAATCAAAAGAGAGTGCAATACCTCCTTCCCAAAATGACGCTGAAAAAATTGACCAACACTACAAAAAACAATGAGCAAAATAGTAAGTAAAATACTTCCACTCAAATGCTTAATTCTCTCTCTCTCTCTCTCTCTCTCTCTCTCTGGAGCCAAACAGTTCAGCTTGTCAATAAAATTTTTATGCTTTTGAAAACATAAATTCACCAATGAACTAAAAGGTCAATTGTTGAAATATTGGTGCAATGCCTCACTATTACATAACTAAAAGTATAATCTCCTTCCATATTTCCTGTCCACTTCAGCACTGAATATGAAGGTAAACAAGTAAAGTTGTTGAATCTCAGAAGCAATTGTGTACAACCTTTCATGTGTATCAGACTCCTTTTGAAGCTTTTTGTTCTTCCACAAAAATGGCTCCATAAGTAGATGAAGCTGCAAGATGAAAGTAATGCTCTAATAAAATTCTCTTGACTAAACATCACCAATTACTAAGAGAAAAACACATAAATGTGGAACAGATCTTGATTTCAAGTAACTAAGAGCTAGTTTTTATGCTTCTACCAGAATGACATTCAACAAGTATAGAAGACAATAAGACATTATAGGTATTGTCCAGGGACTTTAATAGGAGCCAAACCCCTACTGTATTGTAGCATACAAATAATAAACAAAATGTTCAGGATATAAAATCATACCTTTGACCCTGTAGAAAGAATGCTGCTTGTTACCAACTGAATGGGATTTGATGGTAACTGAGACATTAAAAAAAGTGCAAGGAAAAGCCAGTAACAAAACAATACTCTTATTATGACATCAACAGAACATTAATAACACAAAACAGAAGAGTGATTGCGATTTGAAAGATATGTAGCCGGTGAATCTTACCAATACAGGAGTTCCATTCCGGACTATATAGCGCTTGTTCTGTGAAAGCGGCTGCAATTATAATAGCATGGAAAAACATTTTTCAGCCACTGAGTTCCAGCCCCATATAAAACCCTAAACCTCAACGTTTAATTAACAGAATATTTGAAATCTGAAGCAAGGCCTATGCCCTTTATTTATTAAGAGTTAAGCAACGCCAAGTCTCAAACTATGAAAGAGAATAAAAGTGGGGAACTCTTACAGATTGTTGTTTCTCTCTTATGCCAAGAGAATCAAGCAAAAATCTGACTTCTGTTTCACTTTCAGTCTGTTCCAGATCATATAATGTTTACTTTAGTGTAAAAAACATTATTCAATGAGATTGAAACTATTGTGAGAGAGGGAAAGAAGACTAAATCTTCCAACAGCAATTATGAATCAACATACCATGGTATTAGCTCCTTCGTCCCATATTAAGCCATCTTGGCAAACACTTCTCAGCTTCCCTCCAGCTCTCCCATCTGCTTCAAGTACAGTGACATTGAAACCATGCAATTTCAACTTGTATGCTGCAGTAAGACCACTTGAAAGTAATGTAATGTCAGAAGAGTTATAAGAAGAGCAACTCAATGAAGGAAGCAATCAAGTAATGAAATCAAGTCAATTCAATTCATACAAAGCCTTAAGCCCAATCTAGCTGGGTTGAGCTACATGGACTGTACTCTCCATTCAGCTCCATTATGTGTGAATCTCAAAGACAGTTTAGTTAGCATATCTTTCTTAATAACTTCAATCCAACTGTGTTTCAATCTACCTTTTCAGTTCCTATCTACTATTACTAACCATTATATCACTCTTCCTAATTGATTTATCCAACCAATTCAATGGTCATTTCTGCAATTGAATAGAATTTTCCTTTCAACTTAAGAAAGTTTATGATCACATAAAACCCTTCCCGCAATTATCAATTTATCTTCCATACGAAGAGTACACCCAAAGTATCAAAAATGCATACATTCATATGTATCTGTGATTCTGCTCCATCCAGGTTATGACATATTTATCATTTATGTATGATGTCATCAATGCCAAAACAACAGTGCACATACTCAATTTGAAATTCTCTTAAATAGATCCCTGCAATCCAACATTCATTCTCCATAATGAAATAGAGATGACAACTTTTCTTTCAGCAACAATCCAAAATTCAAAAAGAAAAAACATAAAACAACGTCGAATCTCAGCCTACATTTCATGTAGCTGAGAGTGATAACACATAAAATTTCTATGATTAGGCTGCAGTCGGAACTAATTTCACATCATCACAGCCTGCTGAAAATCCACATCATCAGAATTCGAATACGTACGATCAAAATTAAAAAATGCATTTATAACTTGACAATTACTCCTCATATACTAAACGCGACAATTCAAATTCGCCAATTTCAACAAGCAGAGAAGAATTAGGAAATCGGATACCTGACGCCTGCACCAACCACCGCAACTCTCTTCGAAGAGCCTGAAAAACATTTGCATGTTGCTGTGATTCCAGACTAAAAAAACACGCATCGCAATTTTACAACGCGCACGCAAATTAGACATACCTAGAGACGGATTTTGCTTATCGTGGTGAGTAGCTGCGGAAGCCATATCCATTCTGAGTGTGAAATGGCGGTATGCTTGCATTTTGCAGAGGTTTTGTTGTGTCGTTGACGCTGACAAGTCAGTTTGGACTTTTTTTGACATATGATACGGGTATTGAATTGATTGTACATTAAAAAATATGAAAATTTTCAGTTATATAATTCTGTATTTTCAGATATACAATTTTATATTCTATTATATAATTATGTATATTTAAAACATAAATTTTTTTTAAAGAATTAACAACAGATACACAAACCCAACAGGGTAGCTCAAGTGACAAATGAGCTCTCTTTGTGGGGGAAAATTCTGGGATAACCCGGGTTCGATTTCAACAAGTGACGATTCCCTTTGGGCCAGCTTCTGTGCCTCTCGGAGCGAACCAGGTGATGTGTAATTTACACCAAAAAAAAAACAACAGATACACAAAAAGGTACAAAATGACATCGTTTTGAATCAGGTCGCACAATCTGGTGCACGATATAATTTTTTGCCACTGAAATGTATTTCGATCACGATGCATGACATCTGCCATATGTCAGGCTCGCGCACTGGAAGCCCATATTGTGGACTGCTATTGGGCCTATAGTTGGTTACCAAGCGGAATGGCTTTTAATGATAATTTATATCCTGCATCAGAGCGCGCATTGCATTGTGTGTCCTGATGCAAAATGACGTCGTTTCAGATTTTTATTTTTTTTTTTAAATTTTGCTATTCTGTGTTGGTGGTTAATTTTCTTTAAAAAATATCTTACGTTTAAAATTGTACATAATTTTATACTAGAATACACATAATTGTATACATGAATATATATAACTGTATAACAAAATACACATACTTTTTTTTAAAAGATTATACATATAATCTAACATAATACATAATATACATAAACTTTTAACATAATAAACATCAACTCTTTTCATAATACACATAAATTTTCTGTTTCGGATGTACATAATTGTATAAAAAAAATGTATATGATTGTATAAAAAATGTACATAATTGTATAAACAAATAAACATAATTGTATAAACAAATACACATAATTTATAAACAAATACACATAATCACGTCAACTCCCTACATAACTTACCAAAACGACGTCGTTTTGGGAGACGCGGGACGCACAGTGCTATGTGCGCTGTGGTGCAGGGTATAACGATTGGCTTTTAATAGGCAAATTATGCCGTGGAAACGTGCGGACACGATTCCATATTCATAATTTTTATATTGTAGATTTATAATTTTTTTTAATTAAAAAAAATTAGTTTTCACTTGTCGTTAAAGGCGTTTTTCTCTTCACAATCGCATTGTTTCGTCTTTAGTATGAATTTATAATGTATAAATTATGAATCTACAGTATTAGGTTTGTGAACATATGATAGAGCTATATGTTCATAATTTTATAAATATATGTTCATAATTTTCGATATTCCCAATTGTTGAACTATGTATTCACAAATCACAGAACTATATGTTCATAATTTGATAACTATACACTTTATAAATTATGAATCTACAATACAGATATTATGAATCTGCAGTATAGAAATTATGAATCTACTGTATAAAAATTATGAATCTATTGTATTTAAATTATGAATCTACAATTTAAAATAATTAATCTACAACATAGAAATTATAAATCTGGAACCGTGGGCACGATTCCACAGCATAACGTTCCCTTTAAATATTTTGAGGTGAATAGTAGTTAAGCATTTTTAGTTCACATTTGATTTTTGTTAGTTTGTTTTGAAGGTAAGATTATATTGAAGTTCAAAAGGTTTATTATTATTATTATTATTATTTTTTAGTTGACAGTTGATTTTACTATGTGTGCTTTTGTTGTTCACACTATAGATATGTTTGGCAAATCTAGCTAAAAAAGCAATTGAAAGCTGAAAAGCTATAAGCTAGGAGTTGAAAACTGAAGAGTTGTTAAACTAACTGTTATGCTTGAAAGTGTTTGGTAAAATTAACTTTTTGATAACCAGGACTATGTGGTCTAATGGTACCCGGGTTGGATTTCCATTTAGAAGGTTGTAAGTTTGAGCCTCAATGGAGGCGTTATTAGCTCGTTGTGTTTCAGTAGGTTGAGAAAGTATATGAACAGATACTACAATGTAAAAGAGCTAGTAGCATTCAAAAAAAAAAAAAAAAAACTTTTTGATAAACTGATAAATGTAAAAAGACAAAAGATGACATCTTTATAAATGAGCTGAAAGCTAAAAAGTTATAAGCTATGAGCTGAAGTAGGGATGACAACGGGACGGGGAGTATACTCTCCGGCCCCGTCCTCGCGACTTCGTCCCCATCCCCGTCCCCCGCGGAAAATTGAAAATGTTCCCCATACTTGTCCCCACGGGGAATTAGACGGGATCGGGGTAGGGGTGTAAACGAGTCGAGCCGAGCTCGAGCATGGGTATGCTCGAGCTCGAGCTCGTTAAATGCAGCTATGCTCGAGCTCGATCGAGCTCGTAACTGGATGCTCGAGCTCGAGCTCGGCAATTATCGAGCTGCTCGAGCTCGAACTCGATCTTGAGCTCGAGTTCGAGCTTGATTTTGAGCTCGAATTCGAGCTCGAGATCAGGCTCGAGCTCGGGTTCAAATGCGTGCTCGATCTTAACCTTGAATTTGACGGTTTAACCTATTTGATTTAAAATTTAAACTGCTCTGTTTTATCCATACATAAATAATACAAACTTCAAATCAAAACACTCAAAATAATTTCGCAACGAAGTAAAAGATAGTGAAGACACAAGTCTGTTTGTTCAAACTTCAAAACATTCAAAATAAGTTTGCAAATCACAACAAAACACAAGTCAACAGTAGTAGTCCTTGATTCCTTGTACATATATATTTCGTCCCGGATATGTTCAAAACAATAGGGCTTTTAAGTTTTGACTTTTGAGTTTTAAATTTTAATTATTATTTTTATATATTTTAATTATATAATATTATATATTATATTGTATATTATACGGCTCGCGAGCCGGCTCGACGAGCCACGAGCCTAGATTATCTAGGCTCGGCTCGTGCTCGTTTATTTGACGAGCTGCTCGAGCTCGGCTCGAGCTCGATTTTGACCGAGCTCGAGCCGAGCGTTGACCGAGCCGCTCACGAGCGGCTCGCGAGCGGCTCGGCTCATTTACACCCCTAGATCGGGGATTCCCCATTCCCCGTCAACTCCTCCTCAAAATGTTAAATAATTTTAATATTTAATAATAAAAAATTAAAATTTAAGTACTAGTTTCAAAAATTAAAATACTAACTATATATATATATATATATATATATATATATATATATATATATATATATATATATATATATAGTGAAAGGTTCATGTGCGGTGGATTAATGTGCGTGAGATTTCTACTCAATGTGCGTGAGTGTTGTGCTTAATGTACTTGAGATTTGTACTTAATGTGCGTGAATGTGTAAAATGCAGCAGAAAATATTAATGTCAGCTTCTTCCCCATCCCCAGTAGCCATTTGCCCCCTCCCTGATGATGATGATGCGGAGGCGGGCTATGGTGGTTAAGAATTATGGGAATAATACAACAGAAATCCACACTTAGCTGTTGTGCAAATTTTACTGTGCGTGCGTCATTTATATAATCCAGAATCCATGGCCAAATTGAAGGAAGAAGTAACAAGAAGCTTGGGCGTTAATGTGTGTGAGTTTCTGTTCTGCTTCCTTCTAAGCTCGTAATTCTGAAATACTCACGCACATTAAACACAATACTCAGGCACATTAAGTACAAAACTCACGCACATTAAGTACAAATCTCAGGCACATTGAGTACAAATCTCGCGCACATTATGTATAAACCTCACGCACATTAATCCACCGCACATCCGCATGGGAAGCCACAAATGCACCTGATCCCTTCCCTATATATATATATATATATATATATATATATATATATATATATATATATATATATATATATATATATTACTATTACTATTACTATTACTATTACTATTACTATTACTAGTAATAGTAATAGTAATAGTAATAGTAATAATAATTGCAGTGAAAGTTGCGGATAAATGAGAAGAGAAAATAATTTTAATCGGGAAGGGTAAATAATGTCAATTTTTTAAAATAATAAGGGTAAAAATGGAAAAAATGTTAGGAAGCTACTAGCTTATTTTGAAACGCTACCTAGCACTCCAAAATAAGTTCTTATTTTAAGCTATGAGCTTATTTTGAGAACATTACCAAACAGTGCTTATAGCTTATTAGTAATTTAAAATAAACGCGCTATAAGTTCCTAAATAAGTTCTGTCAAATAGAGCCTATGCGCATTTGGTGTTTTGTCTCTGCGTGTGTTAAGTATGCATTGTGTTTGAGAGCTGTGGTTTTTGAGAATTGGTTGTGAAGGTTTTTGTGTGTGGTTGGTGGGTAGTATTGTTTTGGTGTGGGTTGGGGTGAAACAGGGTGGTGGGGGTGTTCGGTGCGTGGTCCTGTGTCTGATCGGTTTCTTCGTCTCCGGCAGAAAGTTTTTTTTTTTTTCAAAAATAAAAATAAAATTTGTTTTCATAATTTTTTTTAAATGTATTTTTTTAAAAAAATAATTTTAATTGGGTTGACATGTTGGAAACTTGCAAATTGGAGGAATTGTATGAAATTGGTTAGTTTAGGAATTCAATTGTAGATTTTCTAGGTTCGGTGGCTTAATTGCATTATCGTGTGCAGTTCAAGTGCCTATTTAGTTCTTATTACTTATTTTAAAAAGTCATATTCTTCCTAGTGTCAGATTGCGGGGAGTGGTTGGACTCTCCACCTTCTTTTCTTGTAAACGTTCTTGAAGCTGATTTAATGAATTAATTCCTTCTTCTCAAAAAGTCATATTCTTCCTAGTCAAATCACAAATGAATCAATATTTAATATGTAAAATTCACACAATATTGTAATTCTTAATAGAGTAGTAATACTCTACTTGCTCCCAACACTACACCAAAACAGGCGTTTAGCGGCGGTTCGAAACCGCCACTAGTATGTTTAGCGGCGGTTATTCAACCGCGTCTAAATAGTGTGTCGCGAAGCATTTAGCGGCGGTTTT